ATGTTGGGAAATTCTATGTAATTGTATAAATATATAGTTTCAAGAATCTTAATAAAGTACTAGCGTAACTGCTTAAGATTAAAAAAAAAATATATATATACTTAAAAAGAATATAAGCAGTATAAAAACTATACTAACTATAAGACAAACCATATAATTGCATATGTTTTATATATGTTTATATATATTTTTTTAAAAAATATTAAGGTAAGTAGTTGTAACTCAAGATTTTATTAATAGTATATTTGACTAATAGTTGCATTACAATCATAAAAAGCAATTATAGAAAGAGTGTATAACTAGTTACTTATACAACTTTAGTTATTATCTAATTTAAGTAGTCTGCCTGAAAGTTCTACACTAGCTGCCATACCTAGAACTTGCTTGTAGGTTTTTTATTTAACCATTCTAGTTTCTGTATTTACCTACTTCTGTCTACTAATGACCTTAGCTAATGTTAGTAAAAATATATTATAGCTACTAAGTCTTTAAAGCAATTCTTTAGAATTTTTAACTCTGTATTAAATCTTTCAGAATTTTTTGTATCTTATTCTTACAGCTAATCTGATATTACTATGATTAAAACCAACACTGATAGTCAGAACATACTATTAAACTGCTATGCTCTTGTAAAGTTTATTCTAATTCTAATACTGACTTTATAATATATTCCTACTATTTTGGTATTCAATTCAAGTTTTATCAAACTGCTATTTTAGATAACTCAGAAAGGTAGACTGTAACTATATACTTCTAGTTACATGTTTGCCAGCATGTATCTTTTTTCTCTAAAATTCTAGCAGCCTGGTTGGTTCATCTGATTCCTCTTTAAAGACTAACACATTTGACCAGTTTCACAAGTTCTAGCTCTGTTTTATAGATTTAGTTTTTACAATAGCATTATTAAAAGTTTAAGTTACTTCTCTATTTGGATCTTTCAAGTAAGTTTTTTTTTATCTGGTTCCTGTAATTTATATAACTTAAAAACTTATTTTGGATTTATATTACCCAATACAATTTGTGTTTCTTTGTACAATATTGTACAAATGTCTAAACCTTCTAGTCATGCTAATATAATATAGGTTACAAGTATCTAATCTTAACTAATTATGAAAAACAGTTAATCATAACACAGAAAGAATTGCAAATTTTTATTGTCACTAGGATTTGAACTTTAAACCTGCCACTTGGAAGTTGACAACCTATTCATTTCACTAAATTATCACACCCTATATATGTTTATATTTAAAACATTATAAAACTATTTTATATTAAAAAAAGATAAAAAAACTAATAATTATTTAAATTATTATTTTTTATGTTTAAAAAAATAAAACTTTTTAACTAAAATATGATTTATTTTGCTAATTACTAAATTGTCTTGACCTATAAAACAAAATATATCTATTGTTAACTTTTAAATTATTTAACCTTTTTATAAATTATATTATAAAATATAAAGTATAGTTTTAAAATTTATATAATACAGAAACTCTTAAACCAACTACTTTTTTTAAAAGTGATCAAATTCAAAACTAAATGCTAAATTTTTATTGGCTAATATTATGAAATTTTATTATGTTTTTAAAATTTTATTAAATTTTTAAAATTCTATTATGCTTTTTATATATATGTGACTAAATTTTTATTTTATTAATAATTTTAATAAGTAATAACATCATTAAAATTTATTAAATTAAAAAACAAATTTTATAACTTTGTTCTGCTTGCCTTTTTATATATTTTTATAAAAAAATTTTTTCTTGTTATATATATTTTTTATTTTTTTATAAAATTTTAAAAAATTATTAGTTTTTACTTGTTGATTTAAGACGTCCTGCACTGTAGCTATATTCTTTTTAACAATTCATTTTATACCAAACAATTTGTTGAAGTCAGTTATTATATATATATAGTGTATATGTAACTATATATTTAGTAATTAACTAATTAGAACTAATGCATGCTACGCTGTGATTGGCTAATTATGGATTTTTGGTCACATGATCTTAGATGGGCATGCCTAATTTTTTACCTGTGCCCCGAACCCTACCCATGCCCCTGTGCCCTGAACCCTAGGCATAACGCAAAAAAAACTAACAAATCGTTTATAACTAACATTTTACCCTATGAAATTGCTTTTACGCACTAACAAAAAGTTTTTTTGCGAAATTTTTTGTATTAAAATAAGTCTTTTCTAACCTAACTTTATTGCAAACTCTAATCCTAATTTAGCTGTAAATTTTTTTTAGCGAAATCTTTTAAGTTGGTAATGCTAGGGTCTTAGGTATCAACAATATCGATATATCTAACAATGCGCCCCACCAAAGAGATAAAATTTGTTTTTGATAACAAAACTAAATACACCAACAGTCAGATTCCTGTGAATCTTTAATACATCCAATTTTTTGAATTTTTTTTGCAAATCACATGCATATTTGTAATGCACTTTATTTGTTTAAACTAATTTAACAAAATTGACAAAGTCTTTACTAATAAAGGTTGGGAAACATCTTTAACATGTTGGTATCAATTATCAATTGACTATTATGTGATCACGTATAAATAATTTGTCCACGAAATCTAGACCAACAATGGATTTCTGAATATAAATAACTGATCCAGGAGAGGTCAAATTAAAATCCTGGGGGTATAATAACTTTGTCAGTCCCTTATTAAAATGTTCAAATAAAAATTTCTCGTCATCTTTTGATTTCACACAATTGTTATGATAATCCATATGGTTCATAAATCTTGACAATCCTTAATATCGTTGATTAAGATCATTTAGTGCTAATCTTACTACATTTCTTTTATAATATTCTGATAAATTCGTGGAATGGGAAATTTTCAGCTTTACAAGTTTCTATTATTCTATTCTAAATAATGATGAGGTTTAATATTAATATAAGATTTAACTTATATATATATATAGGGTTTATACCTTAGTCACAAAAATGGTCTAATTATATTAATACCTAATGACTCAATATTTCTTACTATTGGAAATCAATTAATATATTCCATTGAGGTCAACCCGTTAATTCCACTACCCAGTGCTAATCTCATTATAACAGTCTCTAATTGATCACCGAGATGACTTAAAAATAGTGAAGATATTTTTCTTTCATGACAACCACGAGTCAATAATTTATATCTTTCAATACGAGTGAAGTCTCTTTTTGAGAAATTGTAGGAAAGGTGCTTTCTTCAGAAGTTTCCCAACTTATTGGCATAATTTTAGTATCGATATCTAATAAACTAAATAATTGAATCTAGGAGATTTCAAAAAAAACAAAGCTCATAGAATAATTTATTATTATTTTTTTTTTTACCAACAAAGTTTAGATAATATATTAGCGACCTTATAAGATTCCTCAGTACTCTCAGGACGAAATTGATGGTCAATGATAAAAGCAGTTAATTTATGGTTAAATTCTTTGCTAAACTTATTCAAAAAATAACCAAGAGCATACTATTAACACCACCAGACACTGCCACGCCTATTTTTATATAAATTGATTTTAAAAAGGTTTATTAAAATACTTTTGAACTATGTATATCGAAGGTAAAAGGTTATGAAAGTCTTTCATACCAAGTGGTTCTCCTTTCCTGAGATGAATTTTACTCATTAAGGATATAAATTCTTTGAATGTTGGATTTCTTGATGCCATTTTGCATTGAAAACAGGATTATCATCAATGTGGAAAATCTGTGCAAAAATACTACATATTCTTGACGATTCGGCAGTACTGTGGGGTTTAAAAAAATTTATTTTTGGTACTGTTCCTGATAGGGTCCTAAAACCAAATCCTAATCTTAATTTTTTTATATACAGTAGTATAGTATTTTAGAGGCCCTTTTTTAGAACCCTATCAAGAACAGTATGTAAATCGAGTTGAATCAATATTGTATGACAACTAGATGACGTACTTCCACATGATACTCAAATGTGACTTTCATATGCTATTTTTCGAGCTTAGTTTCGAACCGTTTTCTGAACTCGAACTTCTATAGAAAAGAACCGAGCATGAAAAATTATCTCTTAAACCATTTTCAGGTGTTGCGTATCTAGAGATCTTAGTCACATGCGAAACAACAGCTCGATCTAGTACTTTTAGGTGATAGTCAAAAAACCTTGGCTACCATACCTATGTATACAATATAACTATGATAAAATTATAATAATTTCCTAACTGCTTAGTTAGACTCTGAATCTAAGAACACAGCCGGATCCCTTAACGTTAATGTATTAGAGTATTGTTACGCCTACAAATAAATAAAATACCGATACGTATTTCTGTTCAAATCCGACAAAAATACACAAGTCCAACTTTAGGTAATACATGAACCACAACGCCAAATTAAATAATCTGACACTCAATACGTAGAAGCTTAAGAATGTTCTCGCCGCGTTTAGATCTATTAAATTCCGCCTAACTTTCTATGTAAATATCATGTCATATTTACAATCTGAATCTGTGGTGTGACTAAATCGAGCGGTTTATTTATAACTAAGAAACTGTAATGGAAGAATTTTTAGCCTGAAAACAATTTGCACATGTGCAGCAACAGTAATATATACGTAATACCTTTTTAAAAAACCTGATTTCTATTAATAGTAATAATTGAATAAATTCATAAAAAAAATGATAATAAATATTTATTCAAAAAAAAAACAACTTTGATTTTTAACAAGAGTCTCAAGTAAATTAACGTATCGATTATGGAAAGCACTATTTCCGGAAAGAACGAAATAGAATTGAGGAATTTTAATGATGATTATAAACATTTTTCATTAGTTCGGTGTGTTATCAAACTTTGGTGGACCGTTTCAAAATTTTAAAGTTATTGATTCAATGAATTTGTTGTTTTTCAGAAATTTTCATCTTGCGGATTTCATTACTTTAGCAAATGGTTTATGTGGTTCATACTCTATTTTTTCATGCATACAGTATATGATCACAAAAGAAGAATGGTTCCTCTGGTTTGGCATGTTACTCATGCCATTAGGAATGTTGTTTGATTTATTGGATGGAAAAGTGGCCAGATGGAGAAATTCTTCTAGTATTTTGGGCCAGGAATTAGACTCATTAGCGGATTTGGTGAGTAAATAAAGAGTAACGAAGCGTGGCCAACATTGTATTATTACTACTACATGACTTGGTCAACATGTAAACATTATGAAAGAGTTTTGTTCATCTTTTATATATTATGCAATATTGCAGATATCATTCGGAGTTGCTCCTGCAGTGTGCGGTTTTGCTGTAGGAATACGCACATTCGCTGATACTATGGTCCTTTCGGTTTTTATAGCTTGTGGTATCGCTCGTTTGGCCCGTTATAATGCAACTGTTGCATCTCTTCCAAAGGACTCTTCTGGTAAAATTAGTTACTTTGAAGGAACTCCAATTCCAACTACAATGACCATAGTAGCGATAATCGCTTATTTTGTTAAGGAGGGACAAATAGATGATAATTTACCGGGTGGAGTGATTGAAATATTTCCAAATATTATGTTACATCCGTTTGTATCATTATATGCATTGAGTGGGATTGCAATGGTGAGCAAAACCCTAAAGATCCCAAAATTTTAATATCTGCAAACGTATTATTGCATAATTGCCACATTAACAGAAACAGGAATAATTGTCTCACATGTTAATGAACTTTTAAATTTTAATAAAGTATCATACAATTCACGTCGATTTCTGGATTATTAATTTTGATATAAAGCCATTTTATACAGACTTTCATTTTATTCGCTATTAGAAAAATTAAATGTAAATCCTTTTTCTGCATCATTGGGTTTCTTTATCTGTTCCCATATGGATGGCTTGTTATCTTTATATGAATCATTACATAGTTCAAGTTTCTCTAACAATCCAGGATAAACTTTTTGAAGTTTTTTACAGAAAATTTCGTGAATGGTTTTACATGACCAGGAACCTGATGAGAATCCTGAAATTTGTTCGGGTTTCTCGCGGAGAAATTTAAGTACATTTGATAAATTATGTAGTCCAACAAAATTTTGTGTCTACCATTAATGAAGGAAATTTAATTAACAGTGAACATTAGCAACAAAAATATAGTGATGAAGTTAAGTTGTGACATACAATAGCAATAGAATCTTCGAGGTTGATCACCATATGCCACCATCCATTTGGCACAAAAATCATTTCACCTGCACGACAAATCCCTTCTAAAGGCCGCATATTTGATTTTTGTGTTTCTTTATAATAGTTAAAGTGCCATTCCATCAAAGATACTGGTGATGTAACTTCTGCCTCATCTATTTATTATACTTAAACAAAATGAGGATGTAATAAATAATTTAATCCGGATTATTCTTTTAACAATCTACAAACCTGCACTAGTGAAAACACCTGGTGGAAGAGTATCTGGTGGATACATTATCCATTTTTTGGATCCCTTGATAACAGCATTCCACGCTGAAGTTGAATTCGGATCTTTATGAAATGTTGATCCAGAGCGAGCTGGGCCGATTATGATCCATCTATTCATGATAAATGACTAAATCCTCTTTAAATATAAAGAATTCAAATTTTAATCATCAAGAATACAATACCGAAAATCTGGTCTATCGTGTCCAAGAATATTAAAAAAGTCTTGGGAAAAATATTCTGGCACAAAAAAATCTTCAAGAATACCATCACATTTTTCCCCAAATTTTTTATCAAACAAATATAATGGGCTTTCGTCTAGTGTGTTCGCACTGTACTGTGCGTAGTTTTTTAATTTTATGTCAATAGCTTCTGCACGAAACTGAATATTCCCATATTTTTCTACAAGATATTTCATTGACCATTTTTGGAATGCTGGCCATTGCGTTACTACATCTGTAATAATTACTGGTCTATTTTTTGCAGCATAGTTTGAATTAAATTCTTCCATACTTAAATTTGAACGACGATTAATCGTTTCTGTTCCCAAGAATCGATCAACTTCTGTCAAACTATACAGGAATGGTTGAAAGAGTACATCACTGTAAAAATGAGTTACGTTTACTGCAGGTTTGATGAACGAATATACATCGTATTTAGAATCTGATCGCTTTAAGTATGTTAACTTCCAGGTACCGTACCACCACCAATCACCATTAAACATTCGGATTGTAAGCTGTTTCCACAATTCTTCAAAAGATGAGAAACAGTATAATACTTGGCTTGTAAATCCTAAAGTTAATAATTCTTTTACATTAAGATGTCCAAAAATTTCTAAAATTATTTCGTCCGTTAAATGTGCAAATGCACCAAGACTGGTTTCTCGACGGTTTTTACGAAACCCTTTTTCTGTAGAATCAATATAATAATTACCCAATGGCATTATACCAAGTGGGTGCCTTATTAAATTTAATTTACTTTTTTTCAAAAAATTAACATGTTCACTTGACGAAAAATCCCCATTAAACTCATTTTTTCGATCGCTCAATTTCCTTTTTATCGCAATTTGTTGATGCATTATAAAAATTTTTTATTTCTATCATTTATTTCTATTTTTATTAATTTTTTGGGGTAATCAAAAAAATAGTTGGGGTGACGCATTGGGATTGTCGTAAATCAAAACTATATGTGGCAACCATTATATCGATTTATTAAGAGAACTGATATTTCCACTCCCTCCTTTTTTTGATGAACGTTTTAAATTTTTTTTACCCTTTTTTTCCTTTGAATTTTGTGAATTTATAGAATTTAATTTAAAAAAAACTTCATCGAGTTTCATTAGGTAGTTGTCGAGATATCTTCAATGAAAGTTTTAGAAAAATTCAGAATGTCTATCAAAATATAAGTCGCGGCAAATTTGTGCATGACTTTGATCGAAGGTATCTTGGAAATCACCTAACGAAAGTCGATGAGCTTTTTTTTATCCGAATTCTATGAATCCATAGAATTTAAATAAATAAAATTTCATCAAATTTCATTGGGTAGGTATCGAGATATCTTCGATTAAAGTTTCAAAAAAATTCAAAACATTTATAAAAATATATGTCATCCATAACTTTGATCGAAGGTACCTCGGTAATCCTAATGAAGCAGATAATACAAATTGCAAAGAAATTTTTTGTAATGAATGGTATGCAAATTAATGAAACAAAGTCCAAATTGATTATTATAAACTTGAGTAAAAAAAACAAAAAACAAAAGAGTTATAAGTAAATATATGAAAAAAACATAATAAGATTTTTGAGAATTTGATTGAACAGCAATTAAAAGGTTTTTTTGTCAAAATAGAAGCACAAGAGATAGTACAGGCAATAGTAAGAAGTCTTTATATAAAGAAAATAACAATAGCACAAGTGTTCTATATAAACAATATGTGTATAATTCTAAACCTAATTTATATATTTTAAATAATAAAGCTAACAAAGAATATAATTAACAAAATACAGAAACTTATATTAAGATTCGTAAAAAACAAGTTTAAACTATTAAGAACAATAAGAAGCAACATATTATTATACAAAGTTTAAAAAATTGTAATTTTTTATAGAATTAGTTTTTAACAAAGCAAATTAAAAATTATATTTATAATTAAATACAAAAGGTTTAGAAGAGATTTTTATAAGACTATAAATCAATTAAGAAATGTTATTAATAAATGCAACAAAGAACAATTAGTATTATATTTCTTCTATATTATGTAACAAGACATAAAAAACAATTTAACATATTATATAATGTTTAGAATAAAAAAATACAAATTATACTAAATTAATAATATAGACTTATATTTAAAAAAAAATTGTGAACTTATTAAATAAAATTTTACAAAAAAAATAATATTTGTTTTAGTAAAGTTTAAGTTAATATATATAAAGCAATTAATTAATAAGTTAAATAAACTAATCAAAAAAAAAACTCTTTTCTGTAGATCATCAAAACAAACAAAATTGAAAATTTTTTTAACAATAATATAAATTTTCTTTAATAATATAGCTTTCTTTAAAAATATTATATTTAACATCCATTAGATTTGATACTACTGAAAAGTCAAAAGCTACAAATAGTGAATTACGGTCTGGTTGCTAATGAAAAGTTGGCAACTCTTATAAAGAGCAAACAAATTATTTGAAAATATTTGAAATTATTTGTTATTTTTAACTTGTACAAGTAGTTAGAAAGTCTTAAAATTTGTTTAGCTATTTTATTTTTCCTTTATTTCAATATAAATCTTTTTTTTTTTTTTTAATGTTAAGGTGAGTACTTGTGACCCAGGATTTTACTGATAGTATAAGTTGGCCAGCATCTGTATATGTACAGACACAGAGGCAATTACAGAAAGAGTGTACAACTAGCCACTCATACAACTTTAGTTATTGTCTAATTTAAGTAGTCTGCTCAAAGGTTTTACACTAGTTGCTATACCTAGAACCCACCTGTAGATCCTCTATTTAAACACTCTGATCCTGCATCTACCACACCTATCAGCAATTTCAGTAAACTAGTGAAGATATGCCATGGTCACTAAGTCATATTTAACTTTGTACTAAACCTACTAGTACATTCTGTATTTCATACTTACAGCTCACCTGGTCATGCTTTGGCCTAAACAATCACTTGCAGTTAGGGTTAACCATTAAACTGCTTTTACTCTTGTAAGGTTCACCCAAAACCCTAGTACCCATCTTTCTGATGTCCTCTTCATCGTCCCCTACTAACTGCTACTCAGGACCGATAGGACTCCTTAGACTTCCAATCCAGATGGCCCAGTATGGTATACCTTAGTATCCTTTTCCTCTGACGATTCCAGTGGCCTGGTTGGTTATGTGTTCCTCTACATATTTTGTTATCTGGTTTATTCATCTATCCTTTTGGGAGTGTTTCATAGGCTTCCATCAATCTGACAGCACCATCGAAAGTTTTGTGCTACCTTCAATATAAATCTTATTTCTTCTTGAAAACAAATTATTCAAAAACTTTATTTTAGTTCAAAAAATTTTTTCTGACAAAAGTAAGACATTATACTATTTTAGAAAAACTGGAAAATATATGTAATTGATCAAAATAGTAAACATTAAAAACAAACAAGCAGTCATATCCTAGATAAGAAAATTTGTAACAATTAGCAAAAGAAAACAACAAACATCAATTATGTACAAACCTAAATTAGGAAATAGATAGTCAAACAACAAAAATACAAAAATAAATTAAGCAAATAGAGTAAGCAAATAGAAATAATCAACAAACAAAGACTAATTCAGCAGATACAGGAAACAGATAACAAATTGTGTAAATACTTAAACTATAATGAATGAAATCACATTTTTGAAACATCTATGACTAAAGAACCAAATGACTTGAAAACTATAACAAAAAACCTAGTTTTTGGTGATTTTTAAAAAATTACAACAAAAAAGTTTCTACTATATAGCCAAATACTTAAAACTTAAGATATGTGTTAGAAGAAATTAAAATAATATCAAAGAAAATTATTAAGGATTAGACTAATAAAATTAAAATGTCAAGCCAAAATTTAGACTTAATTAATTATATATTAAGTTTAAATAAAGAGAAAATAAAAAAGTGAAAAAGCAAACTAGAGAAGATTAAAGAAAATAATAAAAAGAAAGAAAATTATTCTAGTGCAATATCGAAGAAAAGATAACAAACAAAAGATACAATGATGGCAGATATGAAAGTAAACAATGATTTAGAATAAATTGAAACACCAGATACAAGAGATATCAAGTAGTAGTACAACAAACAGAGCTAACAGATAAAGACAAAAAACTACTAGTAATTGAAAATAACTGTACAGATGTAACAAACAAAAAGAACACAAAATAAGTCAGAAAACTTTATAAGAAGATTTAATCCAAAATATCAAAAAAACAACCAAACAGAAGGAGTTAAAAATCAAACTAATAGTAACTTTGTTAGAAAACAGTCTTTGGTTATCTAAGAACAGAACCTGTGATAAAAGGTTTTTCTTTAAAATAAAAATTCCATCTTTTAAAGTTTCAGAAAAAACCAAAGAATATCAAATCAACTATATGAAGTGAGTTCTTAAAGAAAACAAATATATCAAAACAATTGAAGAAAAATTTCAAAATAGTAATAGCTAAATGATAGTAGATTTCAACTATAAGTATAGCAGAAGGATATTAAGTAAACTTATTAAGAAAAAAAAGAAGAAGATTGATGTAATCTTATTTCAGAAAAGATTAAAATTCTAAAAGAAGAATTCAATTTAAATTCTAAAGAAAATAAAGAAACAACAAAACCAGAATACAAAAAGAAATATCAAGTAACCTTATATTCACAAAAAGAGAAATTCAACCTATACTTTAAAGAAAAAGTAGAAACATCTAGCTCTAGTAATAGAAAAAAGAGAAGATAGAAATTACAAGATATATGATAATTTGGAATTTGCCAATGAATGTTAAATATAAAAAAATTGAGTATATGTGTAGAAGCTTTGGCAATATACATATAGTAAAAGTCAAAAGAATATAATTTAAGATACTAGCAATAATCAAGATTACAAGCAATAACAATAATTACATCTCATAATCATTACTATTAGATAATAATAACTTTGTTCAAGTAACTCAAGAAGAAGAAAATTACAAATAAAGAAATAAACAAAGTTGCTATATAGCAAAACTACTAGAGATTCTCAGAGATGCTTTAGAAGTGTTGCTTTTGTACAATTTAAAAAGTAAAGATGCAAAATTGGTATATATTTCAACAAATAGAAATAGTAACTTCAGAAGATTTGCAATAATTACATTTGCAAGTCAGAAAGAATTAGAAGCAGCACAGTCTAAACTAATAAAGTATAACAACTACACAGTTTTTTGAGAAGCCTACAAGGTTAAAAAAAAGATAAAAGAAAAAACAAGAATAATTAACCAAGACTATAATGATGAAGAAAAAAGAAATAATCCCCAGAAAAAAGAATACAAATATAAAGAAAGAAGAAAACAAAAGAAGAAAAACAAAAGAGTACAAAAAAACAACAAAAAAACATCTACAAAAAGTTTGTTATTCAAAATTTTTAGTAGACTTGACAAATTAGAAGCATAAAAAGAAGACAATGATGTAGTAAGAAGGTGGAAACTAGCAAATTACTTCTAATAGTTGCTAAAGTTAACCCAAAGTTAGCAGATATAGAAATAAGCTTCTCTTCACAAGATCAAGTAAACAGAACAGAAATACTACAAGAAAACACTCTATATCTAAAGGAAAACTCTAGAAAAGATGAAATAAAACTATTAAATATAGATAACAATAAAAAAATAAAAACAAATAGATAAAGATAACTCTTAGCAAGAGACAAAAAATATACAATATAGAACATGTATAGGAAAAATATATAAAAATGAAAAAATTAAGCTTAAACTAGTAACACACAACATTAATAGTCTCAAAGCAAATAATAAAAAAATAGAATCACTATATGAATAGATGATAAATAATAAACTTGATATCATAGAATTATCAGAAACAAATATTATA